GCTTCTGCAGCATCCATAAGAGCTCTTTCGTATCTGTAAGTAATACTGCCTTTGCTGGTGAATAACCACGATAAGTAGCTTCATTAGGTATGTAGAATTGTGTCTTAGCTTATTTCTGAGTAATTCTCGAAAGAGGGGTAAATTAAAAACTTTAATATGCTACTATTTCGAAGTTTCTATTTTTCACGGGGAATAAAAATATGAAAAGGAGCTTTGATGTCATAGCACGGAGAATGTGATAAGTCCAGTTCTTCACTAATCACAGTATTTGGATTTAATGGATAATTTCAATATCTTGCTACCTTACCATCCAAGAATTTTTCTATGTCAAATCAAAAGCCCAGAAGTGCAAAAATCGAGAGTTTTCTGACGGATGGACAGTACAAATCGTAGCTACGAATACAGTCAATAGTATTAAACTTGACGAAAATTCTTTAGAAAACTGAATCGTTGTTCATCATGTCAAATTTCCTACATTTAGAATTAAAACTAATTAACTGTTTGGTGTTGAGGTATGCCTGAGCTCTGTTGGAAAGCACTGCTGATGTTTTCGAGCATTCCAACGATTTGGTATAACTGGAAATAGCATTGTGATAGCGCGAGGAACGAAAATGTTCATTGCCCTCCAATCGATAAGATTCCGCATCACCGCCACCTTTCGCCATTCCTGAAAATTTTACATTTTTAGTCGGCAACATCAGTGAAACATATTCGGTAAATTAAGCAACCAATTTACAAAGAAATATTCCACAATTCCCCAGAAATCCAGTTTTCTTCTTAATGTTTTGGGTTGTTCTGATACGCACAAAAAAACTATGTCTTAAAATTTTAGAGTGCGCCAAGACAGATGTAAAACCTCAACAGATGCAGTGAAATTTGATCTAAAATGAAGGATTAGATCACTGACACGTCTTATTTTGTTCATATGATTAGTATTAATAACGTATACGTAAAACCTCATTTTTGGCAAGCTTAAAAAAGAATTTATTAAGTGAAAATTTATAAGCGGAAACGCATCAGCTTCAGTGAAAGATCGCAATTTGTACAATTCAGAATATGAACAAGAATATCAAAACCGTAAGATATATGTAGACAACCGGTAGCCCGCGAAAGAAATCAAAATGTCCTGCCTGACTAGGCAAACTGGGGATTTGTATTCCGCCATGCCTCTGTACTCTTATGAAAATAAATAAAATTAAAATACGCATGAAGTCAACAGAAGATAATCTAGAACATACTTTGAGCTTCTGTGCCAGTGACATAAATGCAGATTTCA